TATATTGCCTGGGAGTACAATTTATTGCAAAATGAATAAATTCTGGGCATTCATGCATTACGGTTCTATCTTATAGAACAGTGTGTTACGATCAAGCTTAGTAAATGGTTGTGATTGTTGTGATTTGTTTTTCATTACATGCTCAATAATTCCTAGCAGGGTTTTCATTACAATTTAAGGGGAGTCAATTTGTAAATCAGGTAGAGAAACTGTCATTCAAATCAATTGAATTATTAATTTCAAATTAACTGGAAAATGGCTGCTGTACAGGTAGTCAGCAATTCTGTCCATCAGCAATTTAACATTTGATGGCATTTCCATAAATATGTCATTTCTTAGCTTTGCTCTGTGGTTACAATAACACAAGCAATTCTTATCCAATCATTCTCAGGCTTGATTAGCATATAAGTCAGTATAATATATTGCCCAAGTTTAATTATGTAATTATTTGCTTGTTTAGTTTTGAAAATATCCCTGAAAATGTTTTCTCAAATTGTCTTCTTTCGGTAATTACAGTTGATCAAGCATTTTTTATCTGATTATTTTAAAACAAAGTTTAATTTTGGTCTGACTAGCATGCCTCATTTTCAAAAATTCGACTAAAATAAAACTGCATAATTAATAACTACAGAATTAAGAAGCATTGTTCAGTTTTGAAAATATCCCTGAATTTCCCAAATTGTCTTATTTCTGTAGTTACAGTAGGTCAAACATTTTTTTGTCTGATTATTTTAAAACAAAGTTTAATTTTGGCCTGACTAGCATGCCTCATTTTCAAAAATTCGGCTAAAATAAAACTGCAGAATTAAGAAGCATTTTTTCAGTATTATACTGTTCAGGATCTGTTACTTTTATAGTGCAGTAAAAATTCGGGCCATATTTTTCCCCACCAAAAGTTGGTTTAGATATATCGCTGTACTATTTGTCAACTTTTTATGGAATTCATGTTACATTATTCTGTAAGGAACCTATAAAGAATTGTTTTTATTACAAAAGAATTTATACACCAGAATTTATATTTAATTTATTATACAAGAATCTGCTTAGTCAGATAATCACCAGTATGATAAACACAGTCGAGGTTGTATTCATCCTGATTTCCTACCCTTTACTTAATATAGATTCTCAACGGGCAAGGTTGCAATAGTTACGCTATGTTTTTTTCCCCCTCTATTTCCCTGAAATGCTTGAAATCAGAAAACATCAGATGTCTGTGTCAGTCTTCTCCACCATGGATTATAGGTAAATGTACAGTCGCCAGCATTTACATTATTTATGCATTATCTCTGTCAATTTAAACATTAATTTTGGGGGTGATAGCTTTGTCATCTTGTCTCAACTCGTCTTGTCTCTCATCTGCAAATTTGAGCATGCTGTCTCTTCAAAATGTAAAATGTATGAATAAACAAAAATGCAATTTCAATATTTTCTGTTGACGCATGATTATAATAAATCTTAATCATCAAAGCGATCGCCATTGTGGGATGGGGACTAAATTTGCAGTAAGAAAGATTATGTGGCTAAAATCAACACTGCAAAAGCACAAGCAGTGTTAGTGAAGAATGCTTAGTTAAAATAATCAATAGATTGTGTTATTTTGGCGATGACTGATCAACACTGACAAGTGATGAATGGAACTGACTCTGAGGTACTGTGCAAATATAAGCTTTACATAGTCCTCTGAATATTAATGATACATGTTTTTTCTCTCTCCAACCCAACATCTAATACATTCTGTAAATATTAATTAGATCTTATTCATTGTAATAAGATGAAAATGAGAATTTCTGACGTTCTTGCATTAAAGTTGCAGACTCTGTTAGTATTCTGTGTCTTTTCTGATGTAGCCTGGGAACAGGAACTTAGTAGCTTGGGTCCGGCTGCTCATTTCCTTTGCTTTGATGATTGATTTAATTTAAAACGTCTCACAACAGAAAGACAATAGATTGTCAAATCGTTTTATCTCCAGATTTGGTAATGTAAAGATGGTGCTCTTTTGTTCAAGTTCACTCAAGATGGGCCTGTTAGGTGTAACCTTCTGAATGCCATCATTTTTCTGCTAAATTTTGATCCACCATTTTTCACATTTGTATGTATTTTTTAGCTCTGCTGTCGACTTTGTTGAGTTGAGCTTATCATATGAGTGATTGTTCGTTGCCATCTGTCCGTGTCAGTCGTCCGCGTCAACTTTTTACTTTTTCGTCTTCTTAAAAACCACAAGCCTGATGGGTAAACTTCACTTAGATTTTGTGTTGATATCTTCAATTCTCCAATTTTGGTGAATATTTTTGTCATTTTTGGTAAAAAGTGATATTTTTGACTTGTTAAAAACGACAAGTCTTATTGATTTGATGTTATACATAAAGGTACTACAGGTGGACCTCTTTCATTTTTTTTCATTTTCTAAACTTGGCTGCTTTGATCTCGTCAAGAGCAAGAGCTGTCCAATTTGTTTTTGCTCTTCAAAGAGTATTCCATTTTCTCCCATCTCACAAACACTGTTCAAAATACCTTGATTACATGATCTGTGAAACAGAAGAGGCATGAACATGATAGATTGGAACACAGTTTTAAAGGGAAAAACTAGTCAAACAGTTCCCAAGCTTTAAACAATATCTTGGCAGCCATTTTCATCCAAGGTCTGTTGGTCTATGATCCTGGTGTTAGGTTAACGACCAGCGGCTATAGATGCCATAAAAATGCAATCCTTATTGCACCAAATAGTAATGACCTTATCCCCTCAGGTTAAATGGTTTTTTTTGTGTTACCTCTTCGTGCAAGTCACCTCATTCCCATGCCCATTGTCACTGTCACGAAGGTAGTAAAGTTTAAATGCTTTCTAAGTTAATATCTGGTAAAGCTCATTAATTCTGGGAAAATCACCATTTTATGAGTTATTTTCCTAAATGAGCTCGTGCAGAAAAACAAATCTAGGTCACCAAACCTGTATGCATTGTAATTACAGTATGGCTGCATCTCAGATAAGAAATTCAATTGTTGGTACCAAGTATACATCTCGATACTGTCAACATAATGCGAATGAACACCTTGCAGTCATCTGTGAAATTTATCTTCTGATAATCCTGTGTTTTCTAAATTTGTTTCGTTGCTAGTTTTGTATCTTAATTGTGTTTTTTGTTTTATGGTTTGTTTCTGTGTGAATCGAGAAATCTATTAAAGCCATTCTATAAATCTACACACGGCTTTCAGCAGTGAGTCTTATTTCTCATATTTGTATTAGAGAAGATGTTTGAGTCTGCTCGTACTTCATCTACAGGATTGTATGCTAGAAACTGAGATTCATTTTAACGCTTAGACCTCATATAAAATATTTCCACTTATAGAAAGGCATAGTAATATATTTTTAAATAGCCAAGTTAATTTGAAGGTTTGAGTCCAACATTGACTAAAAATTATTCTTCCTGTCTAGTTTGTCTTTCGATAATTCATTGAATGTCTGTCTAATCTCATGGTGGTATGGCAAATTTCACGATTGGTGTGCTCAAC